AAAATCAGGCAAAAATATATTTTCCAAATCCGTTTCTTTCAAAGTAAAACTGATGAAACTTTAACAGCTGTGTGTCTGGTGAATTTCTGGTTTAAACATGTTTGTTTTTCATTCAGTGGGTAGAAAATCCAGAAGTTTTACTCAAGTAAGACTCGAGATACTTCATAATAAAGTTACTCAGAGTACAGTGTCGTAAAGATACTCCTAAAAGTACATTTTTCAACAACCGTTACTAAGGTAACCCAACTCTGCCAATAACAAATGGGAAATGAAAAACTTTAAATGCACAGAGCCACTGGACTCCCTTTACACGATGTAAACGCCACTGACCTGTTTTCTTGATCATTCCAAGTCAAAACCCCCAAATCAAATTTAATCCAGTTTTCATGGACATCGTCGTATCCAAATGTTCCCTGCCTTGATGCTGTTTGGTCGCGGCTTCCCGCCTCCCCGCCCTGGGCTCCGCGTTCTCTAGATCGTCTTTGTCTTGCGTTTTGGGAAGAGGGCTTTCCGAAAAGACGTGGTGGTGGTTCCCCTGCTGAACGAGGCGCTGCCCAGTGAGATCTTGGTCTTCCCGCTGGTGATGGTGGACGAACCCAGAGACGTCGTGCTCCTTCCCCGAGAGATGGAGGAGCTCCCCATGGCCAGCTTGGTCTTCCCCCTCTTGATGCTGGTGTTGCCCAGCGTCAAGGCCGTCTTCCCCTCCGTGAAACTGGTGTTCCCCATTGTCTTCCTGACCCGGACTCGACGTTGGGGTTCGGGACTCACTCCACACCGAGCATGGCACAGTCATGCAGCTCGTCTCGGAGTTGGTCGTAACATGACCAGAATGCTAAGCATGGACGGCGAGACCCCCGTGTGACATAAAGCCTCCGTTGAGCTGCTCTACGTGGGCTTTGGAAGGCCGCATACCACCCAGGCGTCCCGTGAATGGACAGAGGCAGCCGTAGGTGGACGCAGCCTATCCGGGGGGGACTCGGACAGTGGGGCGATTGTCCCTCAGACACGACGACACCGGACGGTTGAAGGAGACATTGTTGAAAAACAGGACAGTCCGCGGTGACATCACTTTCTTCTCCGCCATTGTTCCCCTACAGCTTCTGATTGTAAGACGTCCCCTCTGTGCACAGCTGTAAGCGCCATATGTAAAATCAGCTGCTGCTTTTGTTGCAGAATGAAGACTGGATGTGTTTATCTTTCCCCATAGATCTGGATCTGAGGCTTTGATGGCCTAGCTTGTTATTATGGTCAACTAAAGCAAACAAAATGGCCACAACAGAAATTCAGAAATCATTTTAGTTAATTGAAATACATAAAAATGGTAATTAATGGGATACATAGAAAAAAGGGACCAAATCTGTATTTAAAAAATCTCACTTTTTTTTCTAGAGATTTTCTAGAAAAAAACCAAGGAAATTTCTCAGTTTGAAAAGTCGTAAATTTGCTAGAAAAAACAAAGAATTTTGAGATAAATTTCAGAAATTTTGTACAAAAAACAATAAATTTTATTAGTCCAAAAAGTTGAAAATTTATTTGAAAAATCTCAGAAAGTTTGAGATCAATCTCAGAATTTTCTAGAAAAACAAGTCAATTTATAAATTTGAAGAGTTGAAGATTTGCTAAAATAAATCAGAAATTTTTTAAATTAAACTCAGAATTTTCTAGACGAAACAAGAAAATTTGGGGTGTAAAACTGAAGATTTTCTAGAAAAATCTCAGAAAATTTCCGTAAACAATAAGAACATTTCTGAGTTTGAAAAGTTGAGAATTTGCCAAAAAAAAAACAACTTAGAAATCTTAAGTTCAATTTAGAACATTTTCTGTAAAAACAAAACAAACAAACAAAACATGGCAGTTCCTGAGTTTCAAAAGTTAAACATTTTGGACAATTGGAAATTTTCAATTTGAAAAGTCAATTTTCCAGAAAATCTCAGATTTTTTTTCCTGCCAGATTCTTAGCTTTTCAAACAGGACATTTTTAAATAGTAAAACGACATATTAAGCCATTATGGATAGGACATAAAAAGTCAAAAATTTACCTGGAAAAATTGAAATTTTCTAGAAAAAGACTTGAAAATTTCTGAGTTTCAAATTCAGAAATTCCTTATTTTTTTCTGAGTTTAATCTCAAAATTTCAGTTTTTCGGCAGAAATTTATTACGCCATTGTACGATCTGAGGTTTTGATTGCGTGTCTCTGAAGGTTATTATAGCGCATATATATATATATATATATATCAAAAAAACTGAAATTGAGAAAACATTTTCGCCAACTGAAATAAATAAAAACGGTAATTAAAGGGGAGGAACTACAACTAACTGCAACTATATCATAACAGCAACTAAAACTACTGAAATTAAGAGTTAAAATACTTTTGTTTTTGAATCTATTTATTAGCCTTCCAAACTGACGTGAAAGTTATTTATTTTTTCCCCACACAAGCAGTTTACGTCAGCTGTCGGCAAACTACGGTGTCAGTTGGTTGTCCAGCAATAATTGAATAAATGTTTTGAAAATGGTGTTTCTGTTGCGTATTCATTACCCAAACAATGTAAACATAATCGCCACCTAGAAAAAAAACTAAAACTGACTGGTAGAAACTAAACTGAAACTAAGCAATATTTAACTATTGCCCACTCTTAAAACTAACTGAATTAGACAAAAAGTCACAAAGAAATGAGCTACAGTGAAAAGTCCAAAACTATCCCATTTTTTAATAACTACACACAAAACAATCAGGAACAACCAGGCGAAGCAGAGTGTAGAGGTATTATCTTTATATGCACTATGACATGAATACACTTTTACAGTTTTGTTGTGGATACAGCTTGCAGCCGAACCAGGGGAATGCATGAAAGACCCACTGGACTCCTACTGATCCCGGCTGCATAGAACGGGCGAATTGTTCTCGTGTCGCCACATATACATCACATCACATCTGTTCAAGCTTCCCCTCCCTGCTGAGCTCAACACACCATAAAGCCTCATCGCATCACTGTCGCATTTGCATAACATCCTCTGCACGCTTTTTAACACGGGACTCCCCCTTTTTTCTGAATTAAAGACGAGTTAAAATCCCAAACATAGCAGCAGCTGGTTGTGACTACTGACCTTCTAACACTGACCACACAGACACATCCACGAGCTTTTATTTGTGTGCTGGATTCACGTGTGAAAATCCCAGTAGATGTTGCTGTGCCTTTCCTTGCCCCTGATGAGGGTCGTCTTGACAACAGACACAGATTTGGTCCCGTAGGTAAAGGTCAGAGTCATGAGAGAGCTCGTGGTCTCCCCCCGCGTCACCGAGGTTTTAGCCACCGTTATGCTGTTGCTGCCCAAAGTTACTACGGTTTTGCTCCAGGAAAACGAGGATTTCCCCCAGGAGATGAACAACCTTGTCCTCAGGAACGAAACCCTGCCTTTGGTGAAGGAGGTCTTGCTTGACGAGAATGTAGTTTTCCACTCGTTGTTAGAGTCTTTTTTGGACTGCTTGGCCGCTTTGGGTGTCTTCGCCCTGGGCTCGGGGTCCCTCTCCATCTAGGTGTTCCTGCGCTTGGACGTCAGCGCCTTGCGGAAGGAGGTGGTGGTGGTTCCCCGGCTGAAGCTGGCCCGTCCCAGAGCCACGGTCGTCTTTTGCCTTTGGATGGTGGAATCTCCCATGGAGGTGGTGGTCACTCCCCTAAAGATGGAGGACTTGCCTAAGGACACTGTAGTCTTTCCCCTGGCTATGGAGGTATTCCCCACTGCCAGGGCAGTCTTGCCCTCTGTAATGCTCGTGTTGCCCATTGAAGCGGAGGCAGCCTGGAAGCCAGCTATCGCGCACGCCGCATAGCAGACCCTCTGCAGCGCAGAAGGGCAAGCATGTCACGTCAAAAAGCCACACCAGAGCCGCTGCAGCTGCCCTAAATAGATCACACCACCATGTATCGATGAGGGGGAGGGAATTATTTGATCATGCCTTGATGCTGGCCGGTCCCTCAGAGAGACAAGACCCAAAGGGACCTGGAAGCGCAGCAGAACCGAGCAGACAGGGGGATAATTGTGTTGATTTCATGATAACAAAGCCGGGGCATTGAAGGGGGCGCTTTGTGTAAGCACACAGGACAATTGGGGTGACCTCAGTATGAGAAGATGGCGTGGTTCCCAAAAAAGAAAGAAAGAGAAAAGCCCTCCTCCCTGCGCTGTTCAGATACAGTACTACGTTTGTCTGCCTCAGTACAGTACAGCGCTCAGCTGCAGGGGGCGTGCAGCACAAAACCCTTAAAATTGGGGAATGTAATGTTTATAAAACATTTTTTACCCGTTTCTTTAAGTCTGTACCATCTCCCTGTACTAACTAGAGACAACCAGTAAGAGCCAGGAGGCGGGTCTTAGCGCTGTCAATCATGCTATTCCCTCCCCCTTCCTTTCTGCTATGCTGCAGCTTCCTATCCTGCTAGGAATGCTAAGGCTAGTTAGCATAGCCACCGATGATGCTTTAACAGTTTGTTGTTTCTCCGCCATTAGCACATGTAGCAGCGAGTACATAGGCTGATTGACAACGTTAAAATTAGAAATCTGAGAAAAAGATGTACTGAAATTAAAATCTAAAATCTTGGGGGGGGGGAGGGGGTGTCAGGATTCTGAAAAAAAAAAAGTCAGAATTCTGACTTTTTTTTCAGAATTCTGAAAAAAGTTAGAATTCTGATATTAAGATCAGAATTCTGAAAAAAAGTTAGAATTCTGAAAAAAGTTAGAATTCTGATATTAAGATCAGAATTCTGAGGGGGAAATAAAGTCTGAATTCTAAAAAACAAGTTAGAATTCTGAGATCAAAATTAAAATTCTGAGAAAAAAATAATTCTGAGATTAAAGTCAGACTAAGACATTCAGGGTCTTAATTTTAGACAAATTTAAGAAAAAAAAATTGATGCGGGACTTAGTGCTTAAAATGTAAATGTTTTCCCTTTAAGTTGCTGCTCAGTTTTCTAACTCAGTTTTATTTGTCTCTTTGTTTTTCAGATTTTCTGTGAAGACTCTTCTAGAAAAGTACACAGCAGAGCCTATAGATGATTCATCAGAGGAGTTCGTTAACTTTGCTGCTATTTTAGAGCACATCCTCAGCCACCGCTTCAAAGGTAACACAGCAGGTAACATATGAAGCAAAAAAACAGTGTTGCCGTGACTACATTCTGCAGTCTGAGCAGAAATAATCGCCTGCTGTGCTTCAATCTGTGCGCAGGTTCAGGGAGTTGGTTCAGCTCCGATGGACAGCGCAGTTTCTGGGAGTACATCCGGCTGGCGTGCAGCAAGGTGCAGAACAACTGCATCGCCAGCATCGAGAACATCGAGAACATCAGCACGTCCCGAGCCAAGGCGAGGACTTTACGTGTTGACAGGGGGGAAGGGTTTCCGTCAGAGAGAGGGCCTTCTGTTCCCGCTGACTTCTTCTGTCGTCCCACAGGGCCGGGCCTGGATCAGAGTGGCTCTGATGGAGAAGCGTCTGTCTGAATATGTGTCCACTGCTCTGAGAGACACTAGAACAACCAGGTCCACTTGAATTTTTATTTATATAAAAACACATAAAACACAGAGCACGACTGATTTAACTCATCGCTGCAAAAACACAAAATCTTACCAAGTATTTTTGTTTAGTTTCTTGTACACTTGAAATAAAAAACTAACTTACAAGCAAGTTTTCAGCAATATATTTTTTTAAATAAATAATTATTCAATATTGATTTTAAAAAAGTCCTAGTTCCCCTGAAAAACAAAACATTTTCCCATGTTGTTAGTGAAATAATCTGCCAATGGAACAAGAACTTTTAGATCAATATTTAGGAATAATTCACTTACAACAAGCGCTTTTTGTAAGTTAGTTTTGTCTTATTTCAAGTGTAATAATATATTTGCACTAGAAACTAGACCAAAAATACTTGGTAAGATTTTGTGTTTTTGCAGTGATAATTGGTAACATAGTAAAGTCGACCTTTTATGCTTCCTTGAACTGGCTAGCATAGATCTATGGGCTTTACAAAACAGTTTTCCCACAAAATCATCCTTGGATAATAAGATGTTATTCTGTTCAGTTCAGAGTTCTATCAAAATTAGCCTCTTGTCACTTTAAATCCACTGGCCACGCCCCCAAACTCAGTGTTTACACTCACACTTTGAAAATGGCTGCACACAGATGCCCAATTATACAATCATAGATCTCTGAAAAGCAGAAGTAGAGCCTCCTGTGCAACCAACAAGAATGAAGCAAGTGGTTTCTGGACACCAAAACGCTTGTCTTTTTTAGCAGCTATTACAGTGGTAAAATCACATGAAATATATATAAATTATCTATTTATTAGATTTCTTAATCTGGGAATTGAGTCAGAATTTCGTACCACAAACAAGCAAAGCCGGTATGACAATAAAAAAATCCTTGAATCCTTGAAAACCAGCTGACCAAACTGTTGGAACTCAGATTAAGTTGCTAGGTAACAGGACTGGGCTTTGCTGGGGTTGCTAGGTAACAGCAGTTTTTGGAATGGTCTATATTCCAAACACCAAAAAACATAAATTTACTTCTAAAAAAAACCCATCTGGGTGTTTTTTCTGTTTTTGAAAACATCTGAAAGTAGAAAAAGGTATGAGCATGTGTGTTGGTATGTACTGAAGTTAAAACCGAATTAATTCTAAATTTCTTGTCCAACAGGAGGTTCTATGATGATGGAGCCATTATGCTGAGGGAGGAAGCGACTGTCCTCACTGGCATGCTGATTGGACTGAGCGCCATCGACTTCAGGTGAGGTTTCTCTGAAAATCAGGGTTTTAGCAGAGGTGGGAAGAGTAAAAGTGTAAAAGTGTTTGGTAAAAATATTACTCTACTTACTGAGTAACTAGTTAAAACATCAAACATTTAATATTTAAAAACTGCATCTTCACACTGTGGAAATTTTGGTATTTTAGAGACCAAAATTAAAATAATTTCTATAAATAACAAAATCAGGCAAAATATTTTTTTGCAAATCAGTTTCTTTGAATATTAAACTTATGAAACTTTAATAAAAACTGAAGGTGTGTGTCTGTGTCTGGATTTTTGGTTACTCAAGTAAAAGTACAAATATTTCATAATAGTTACTCGGGTAATAGTAACTCTCTTACTTTTTTGTAAGAAAAAAAGTCCTAATAGTAAATTTTTCAAAAAGTTACTCAAGTAAGTGTAGCTGAGTAAATGTAACTACCCAACTCTGGTTTTTATTTATAACAATCTGGTTGTAAAAGAGCAACTTTTGTGCAGTTTTTGCTTGAAAGGAGAAGCTCTGGATGGGAAATGCCCAGCTGTGATTGATTACACGCCGTACCTAAAGTTCACTCAGAGGTGAGATCCAGCCAGCTGATCTATTCACTTCACTAGGATGTGTTTTCAGTTTGCTTTCCTGCCATGTAGCTACGACTACCTGAGCGATGAGGAGGACCGCCGCAGCGTGGACAGCAGCAACAGCGAGGAGAGCGTCCCCGAGCATCCCTACATCCCTCTGGTGACTGACGAGGAAAGCTGGAGCAACAAGTGCCGCAAGATGGAGCAAAGGTTTAAGATCGTCTACGCCCAGAAGGTGAGCAGGGCTCGTACGATTCATCTGATTAATCGTGATTAATCAATTATTGAAGTAACCGTCAACTAATTTAGTAGATTAATTGTTAGAAATTGTTTTTGTTTTTTTTTTTTAAAAAAAGGCCATTGGTTGGAAGAACAGCAGTCATTAAGTCAAAACTAGGCAAAAAAATGGATGCATTCTAAATTTAACATACATGTAATTATGTTCGAAACAGAGCTTCGGAAGATGATTAAGGCCATGAAAAAAAAAAAATATAGATTTTTTTTTTTCCCCTCAGAATTCTGAATTTTATCTCAAAATTCAGATTTTTTTCCCAAAATTTTTTTTCTCAGAATTCTGACTTTTTCCCAGAATTCTGTTTAATCTAAAAATTGTGACTTCAATCTGAGATTTCTGACATTTTTCCTCAAATTCAGACTTTTTTCCCCCCAAATTTTTTTTCCTCAAAATTCTGACTTTCTGTGAAAATTCTGACTTTTTTTCTGAAAATTCTGAATTTAATCTGAGAATTCTGACTTTTTTTCCTGAAATTTCTAACTTTTTTTGCCCTCAAAATAATTATTTTTTTTAGATTCTTGTTTTTTTTTTCTTTAAAATTGTGACTTTTTCCCAAAATAATTTTTTTCTGAAAACTCTGACTTTTGCTCAGAATTCTTACTTTAATCTCAGAATATTAAAGTCAGAATTCTTTTGTTTTTTTCAGTGGCACTAATCCTCTTCTGTACGGAACTACACTAGTGGCATAATTTTAGCTTCACCTGGTTGATATTCTGTAGAAAAAGAAAAAAAGTGTCTTATTTAGCACTTTCTGCTATTCATTTATTAATTGCTTATTGGAAAAGCAATCAACAGAGCTGAGCTTTTCATATGCTGATGTTACGAGTATTTTTTAGCTGTGGATGTATCTTTTGCTACAAATAAGTGTATGCTAAAAAATGCTGTGCTATTTCATTTTAGGCAAGAAAATATTTTTTTCTTAAAAAAGAAACTATGTATTTTTTAGTATTGTATACTTGGTTAAATGAAAGACCAGTTTTTTATCCAGTTAATCATCAGAATAATTGATAACTAAAATAATAATTAGCTGCAGCCCTGACTTCGCTAAGCTTCCTTCCCTCCAGTTTCCACTCATGTAGTTGTGGGTTTGCGTTGCGTAGGGGTATCTGGAGGAGCTGGTGCGCCTGCGGGAGTCGCAGCTGAAGAACGTGGAGACGGAGAACAAGCGTCTCCGAGCCAAGGTGGAGGAGCTGACACTGCAGGGTCAGCAGGAGAAAAAGGAGCTGGAGGCCATCGTGTTAGAGCTGCAGGCACAACTGTGAGGGATCACAATCAGATAACAGAGTGTGTCATTTCAACTGCAAAAATGCAAAATCTTACCAAGTCATTTTGGTCTAGTTTCTAGTACACTTGAAACAACTTACAAGTAGCTTTCCAGCAAAACATAGGAGTTGGTTTTAACTTATAAAAATAAATGTTTCTGTTGTTATAAGTGAAATAATGTGCTGAAGGAACTACTGGTAGTACTTTTTCATCAATATTTTAGGAATTTTGACTTTTAACATCCTCCTATATCTTCTTCAAAAGTTACTGATAAGTAATTTTTGTCTTATTTTAAGTGTGTGTGAGATATATACACTAGAAACTAGTCCAAAAATACTTGGTAATATTTTGTGTTTTTGCAGTGTGCTGCTAGGTTGTCATTTGTTTTCTTCCTGTATTTCTTCTACAGTTGTTAGGCTATGTCCACACAACAGTTCTTGATGCTGAAATCTGATTTTTTTTTTTTCTTTGCCTGGTCATTCATAGTACTAATTAAACCTGACTGCAGTCAGACTTGTCTGTGAACTTTTGATGTTCCACAAAGCAATTCGCTGAAGAAGCACACAAACGTTGTTCTTCTGCGCCGTTCGTGGATAGATTTTTTAATTTTTCCAGCAACGAGAGCCGACAATGTCGTCACAAGATCATAACAAGATAAAGGAAGCTAAAATACTTCAGACTCTCAACGGTTAGCTAACGGTTGGTGGAATCAACTGACTCACTCGCTCTTTGGTTACCTAGCAACTCACTCATTCTTTGGTTACCTAGCAACAACCTGCTGAGTAACTGGCCCAGCAGCAGTTTAAGGCTCTGCCTCATAGCTGCCTAAAAGAATAAAAAGCAACAAAGACGGACAACTATGAATAAAACAGGAAAGATCCTCCCGACAGTTTGAAATTCACATAATTAAAACAAAAAACTAATCAATAATTATCGATATCAACTGTTATGAAAAGCTTATATCGTGGTATGTTTTTCAGCCTGAAGTCAGTTGGATGTGTAGTCAGAACCAGGACTTCTTTCATAATCTCATAACTATTATTTTCAGCCATTACTTAAGTATGGATTAACCAAAGTTGGATAAAAATGCGACATGACAATCAAACATGTATCTGATTTAGTACCACATACAAAAGTGGAACAGAGCTGATTTGTTTTTGGAGGTGAAAAGATCAGAATTGGGCTGTTCAGACTGAAAAAGTTGCATTTGACCAAAAAAAAAAAAAAAAAAAAACAAATTGGGGTGGCCTTTTGGGCCCCCCCAAACTGCCCTTAATGGCGGAGTGT